GTAAAAATGTATTAAGGACAAACGGTAGCAGGAAACGCAGAAGTACGGTGTGCAGTGAAGCGACTCACTAGTGTTGCAGATGAAGCAGGGTCGAGTGTAAAAGTTTCTTGGGAAACGAGTTCACGCAAGCTGAGCAATAATTGACTCATTCGGTGAGGAGTACGAATAAAAGCCGTCGAGATCTTTGCATCTGGCAGAAGGTTCGGCAGATTGAAATGAACGCCTTCCGGTGGTGGCCGGGGACAAATGAAGGTTGATTGTGGTTGTCGGTATGGGAACCAGTGAGCGAGAGGACCATCACTGCACTGTGATCGCTTTTACGCGACAGCGATCAAAGGAGCAGTGTTCATTGACTTTTCAGGTTTGGTCAAACGCATCAGGCGATCAAGCGGCTATCAAGACCGGGGTTCACGGAAACAAGAAGGCATTAAAGGACGGCGGTCCAAAACACTATCCAATTCCCGTTCTGTTTAGCTTAGGAATAGATGAATCTGATTTCAGCTATACGTATGGCTTGTTTGCTTCGTTTTTTCACCATAGTTCACTGTACTGGAGAATGTGATGTGTCACGCACAACGGTCGATCGCGACTGCCCAGTGATCCTGCAGCAACTAAAAGGAACGTTCGTGAAGACCTCTGATCAGCTCCGTCTCCATCATTCCATAAAACGCCGTACTTTTCAGGGCTGACCAAGCCCGTTCAACAGAGGGCTTGGACACAGGTCGTTGCTGGACCTGGTCATCGTAAGCAAAAAGCACTCCGTTGATCAAGTGTTGATCAAAGCTCCACTGGCATATTATGACCACTGTACGTTGACTTTTGATTCGATCTGCTACTAATCCATAATTCCAGGACCTAAAATGTGGATTCAAAACTTAACCACATGACTTTCTAGATATGTAATATCTTGCTTGATCATTCTGAACCGGTAGCCAATTCATTGCAGACTTATACATGTGTTTTGTCCTGAATATTCATGAAGCATAGACGATTTTCGTCACAATATAACCAGCGCGCAGCCGGATGGAACTGAAATTTCTAGAAGGATTCAGCATCTTATGGAAGGTGGGACGCAACTTTAATCAAAAGGCCCACTACAACCGCTGGCAGAATATTAGGGCGTATTCCGCGAAATGCTAATCCGATGCAATTAGAAATCTGCCAGTAATCCGCATGGAAACCTCGCCATGGAAATCAAAAGCGTGCTTTCAATAAAAGAAGAATTACTTCCGGATCTGTAAAGAATATGTCGATAGGGACATCGTCGGGGCGTTACAGCTTGAGAACGGCGAGCAATAGAACAACTGGGAAGAAAGTACAACCGACGAGACACGGTTGCTACCTGAATAGTCACCGTAGTTGTCGAAACCAAGCGAATGGAATGCTGGGGTGAGGTACTGCTATTTCAATGGTGGGGCAGGTTGACTTGAACTGAAACGGGAAAAACATTGCTGACTTTGCTGTCGGAAAAATGCCCAAATTAACGAAGGGTAAAATGGAGATGAAGCTGAGATAATTTAAGTGGAGACAAGTGGTATATTTTTCCAGAAAATGTGGTTGAATTTGAAACTGAGCAGACACACCGGTATCGCTGTTTTGGGGAGTTGATTGGACAGGATGTTTTCGATGGAGAAATAATGGTAGTGCTCAGGGCTGAGCAAACACCGGTAACGAAGTCAATGCACGTGTAAAGCTGAGAAAGTGAAATTTCAACTAAAAACCAGGTCAGTTAACTGCGAACGAAAGTCTCAGCGACTGAGAATCAACTTGGCCCAGGGGCAGTGACTCTGGGTGAAGAATCTGATCGGAGTTGCAGCTGCGGTCTTGAGTGAGTGTTAAGTGAATGTCATGGCTACGAGAAAAATTTCCGCGGGTGTGGTAGTGCCGTAACGTCTTTGCACTGACATGATTCAGCTTCTGGACAGCCCCATAACGGACGCCAAGGTGGCGTAGATCGGATCCGGATTAGACGAGGGGATGGATACATGTATTGCCTGGCCGACAAAGTGTCATGGGTAATTTTCTTTCAGTTGAACGTCCCTGTGGGCTTGAACTCAAGACCAGGCAGACTGAATGATGGACGCAGGGCATTCGCAGCAGTTACTGTCGAAGTGCAAGGGTTGGAAAAGGAGGGAATAAAAAGGATATAATGAGTGCTCATCGAAAGTGGAGAGTTGGAAAGCATCAGGCAAAACGGTGTTCAATAGAAGAAATCATCTAAGGAGAAGGAAAACAAGTCAAATGTTTTTGAAAGGATGAATTTTTGTCGGCTGACCTGGCAAAAATGGATTATTTGAGGTTACCCATGTATTACGAGGACAGGACGAACCTCGAACTTCGGAAATGCCCTTTATGGACGCCTTGTTTGTCTGGTATCCATTTCACCTGACCATTCATCTGCATTCAAAGTGATACATAGTCAGACAAAAATTACGGCGATCTTAAATTAACTTCGTCCTATCTGTGAGGAATTCCTTGGCTAGCCTGAGGTAATCCCGCTGCTTTGAGAATTGCACATCTCAGCCCGATGACCTTAAACACTAAGTCGAAAAGCTGAAGTATGTCAAGCCAGTGATGGTACGGCACTTCCACACGGAGTTTCACATCACATCCGCAATTCCTCTCGCCCTATTCCTAACAGTACCCATTCACCCACTCGTCCAACTGGCTGCAATTACGAAACAACATTTCAGACGGTCCCAGCCGCCTCCAGGACACCCACTAAAATACTCTAAACATTTCGTTTAGATGTAACAACTTCAGTGGATTTTTAACACGTGCTCTTCACGAAGTCAATATTTTTTGTGCGGTTTGCGTACCGGTTCGTACGCTGTCACAAACTCATTCATCCAAGGATCTCCCTACCCGACTTCACTTTACCAGTGACAAACGTGAGTCTACAGTTTCACTGTAAACCATGGTTCTGAGATTTTGGCTACCACTTATCCACACTGCTAATCCCTTCACTTCATCGACTTCACATACACTTTTCGTGAACTGGCCGTAAGCTCAACAGGCCAGAACAACGAGGCCTTCGAAGCGTTTCTAGGTTTTAGTTCGAATTGGCAGCCTGGATAACGCTGACTTTGCTGCTTCACCGCGTTTTCCGCGACTTGCGGTTTCTTGTCATGTGTCAAGCAGGATACTCCCCTTTGCCCTCTTTCGATTTGTTTTTGTCCGCCACCTCAATTCTAACGTCTATATCAGATAATGCTCACTTTTTACGACACTGTTTCATTTCCGTCCATTCCCCCGTACCAAAAACCCTGTCAGCTATGCTTATATGCTGACTGTGCTATTTTGATTACACCAGACGGCATACTACCCACCAGTTGGGTATAAACATCATCAATAATGTTGGCGGACATTTTTAATAATAATGTTTATTCACAACCTGTGGGTGGTGTGCCGTCTGGCATGAGCATAGTTGGACTAGTTGTCACCAGCGTTGACATTGTGAAGTAACGGAAATAGTAAGAGATTTTAGCTCGGCTAAAGAACCCAATATCCATTGTGCGAATTGTGCGAAGAATATTGTAAACAAGACAGTGGACATAAAACGACTGGTTGAGGGAGAGCTTCCGAAATGATAGTATGAACAGTATCTACTGCATGAACTGAAAAGTAAGGTGAGTCACCAGTCGCTGAATCACTGCTGTCAGGTCCAAGAAAAAAATGATGCCTCACACGACTATCCAACAGGAGCCATGCGTGACCGCAGGTATTCAAGGAATAACAATGTCTTTTAATTTTATATGTACAAGATCACTTCGTGGAGCGGACAAAAACAACGCTGAAAAACTGGACCCGATTAAAATGAGGCTCAAACTAGTACGATGGTTGCGGAACCATCAATGTCGATGTCAGTTGTTAGCCTCACAGGAGCTTCTAAGACCACCCTACTAACCTTTCAAATCAGTTGAAAGGAGAGTTGTCCTTCGATTATATCTCATGGCCTTGCCAGATAAATGTCAACCGGAACAAGTTCAAACCAGCTGCAGGCTAACAATAATGGTGCTTTTCGACAGACTTTCTGAACTAACTTCCAGGCTCAGGACCACTGTGATGGGCGATATACCTATGCTACTGGACGGATGGTGAGTAATTACGAGACGTCACATAGAAAAGAAGCCAGCTGCCCTCTACTTAGGGGTCAGAAACGGGGGAACACAATGACCCAGTAGTGTTATCTGAAACCTTCGCGGACATGTATTCACTTACAAAGAGCTCCTGACATCTAATCTTGTAAATACGTTGCGACGAGCGTTCCCTAACCAATCCTGTCTTTACAGAAGGAGACATCCCTGAACTCGAGCACGCGACGGATCCTTTCTGTGCGTTGGGGACAAAAAAGACCCGTCCAAAGATTCCAATTGAAATGCCCTTTACACTAGCAGAGCAGTTTCACTCGATGATTCCTCAGTCGCTCAACGAAAGCAATCTTCCGTCTACTTGAAAAGAAGCGGCTTTCACGCCAGTCTATAAAATTGGCGACCGACTACTGCACGGCAACTATAGGTTTACTGATCTCATCAGCTTACCGTGTAAGGTGACGGACCGCATTGTGAAGCGGTTCATCTTAATCCACATCACTACCGACAGCTTGATATTCTCGAATTCCTCCAAAATTGTTCTCGCATGACGAACATACTCGTATTCATGGCAAGCTTAGCCGGAGCTGAGGACGAGGGACTCATACCAGATACTATTTTTTCGATTTCTCAAAGGTAATCAATCAAGGTTCACATTTCTCCATGGCCTCGAGTCTTAGCGGATTCTAGGGAGACTTCTACGTTAAATTAAGGCGCTTTGACCAGAGTGAAAATTTCAAGAGAAAGTAGACCGGACATACTTTACTTCGGCGCCGGTCTCTATTGGGGTTCCTCAAGGCTCTACATTGGGACCACCTCTAGTTCTGATCTACATCGAGAACCTTACAGATGTTCTTTCATGCGGACATATACTTTTCACGTGAGACTTGAAATTCGGGATTTCAATCGCTAGTACCGTCGAAGTGGACGTGGACGCTGCAAAGAACTGGGAGTCGCCTCCCGTGATGACCTAACGTTTAATTATGCCTCGCTTCGACGTCTATACAATAGGTTTCCACCCCTGACTCAACTAGCTAATAGCACGGACGCGGTGAAAGTTTCAAGCTCTGAGCGTATACCTCTATTTAGCACAATTTTTTCATATGTATTAGCTGGAGCTTGGAGTAACCTGCCTCCGACGATGGATAACTCTAAATTTAGTGCCCAGTTCAAAGCTCTTTTGGACGCTTTTTAGTTGAGTTGTCATTATAACAAGATCACTATCGATCGCTGAGAACCTGGAATACATCGCTGTACTCTTTTGTCGCTTGTGCTCTTCGGCTGGACGGAGGTCGCCGAAAGAAAAAAACGGACCCGACCCGGTAATCTTTGTAGACATATTCAAACCCGTGTTCAGTGCTTTAATCAGTGAACACCACGAAGTTGTCGGTGTATCCTCCGATCCAGCATTGATCCATTTGTTTTCCGGTGCAACAATAGGGCGAATTATCGGGTTCAAAGCCTTCATTTTTAATAAGCTTTTTAGGCAAACTGATTGATTTGTGGATCAGGATTCGCAAATCCGTTGTATTCGACTTGTCCTCGATTAACTCTAACTGAGCTGTTGTTATTGTTCCTCATACCTACTCCGCTTCTTCACTGGATCCCCGATTCACTTTAGATACACGATTATGCACTCAGTGTTTCGATTTTGGACGTAAGGCTTTTTAACTTAATAACCTCTCATATGACCTTTGAAACGACCGATTCCAAGGTGCCCTCTGTCAAGGACGTGCGGGCGCGTATTTGGACTGCCTGCAACGCAAACGTGAGTTGTTATCGCGCATTCGGTGTATTAGTGGTTACCTTAACTGTGCAGATTTTCAAGAGAGATGTTTGCATACCACCACCTCAAGAAGTTTCTCTGGTCAGCAATATCATTATTATCACAACTTTTCGATCCTTCATTTTTGTAACCTATGAGGAATACATGATAGGCTCCGTAAGATTTTAATAATGAATAGAACCTTAATTTGGTTTATATGCATTGCAACGGCGTTTTTAATTGTTTGTTTCGGTCGCCCTCCGTCTTTGCGTAAGGTGTAATGCTTTTTTAAATATAATCCCCAGCGACTTATATGGTTTCTACATGCATGCGATGGGAGTGCTGTTGACACAAATCAGTGATACCTAAAGCGCCATTTAGCGACTATGTATGACTATACAGTCGAAAATGAGGTATTTATCGGGCAGGTTCAATCCGTATGCGATGAACTGAGGATCAATTTTTTCCGAGGTTAACCACAATTGTAGTAATAGCGTCAGCCTCTGGTCAGAACCGAAATGAGCGGAATACTCAACCACATGTCGCTGATATGAAGAGACCGCGCTGAAAGATGTGTTTTACCACATCCATCTCTAGTTGTTAAAATTGGAAAAGTCTAGTGGGTCATGCTTAACTTATTTGAAAGCAGTTAGACAAGTCGACGCCGGCACCAACAGATCAATTGCTCCTGTTTAGGTTTGTGCAACCTGGCGTTATATAAGCTGTAATGTTTCTTTCGGAGAGCATAGTGCGGGAAGGGAACCATTATTATTACTGATTACCGAGATAGTTTTCACATACAGAAACTAGTTCAACCAACTGTTGGATGCTCCTTCA